AAGAGAAACCTGAAAATTGCACTAGCATGTTGAGAATCCCAAAGAAAGGGAAGACATGTTGAAGTAAAAGTGCTGAATGAGGGGAGCTCTGGTGGCCTAGTGGCAAGAAGCTGCAACTACAATCCCAGACATGCACGGTTTGAATCCACCAGATGCTCTGCCGGGGGAAGGAGGGGCAATCTCCTCCTGTACCAGTCAGATCTGATTTGACGGTACACGCACACAAAAATAATAATTTTTTTTAAAAAAAGTGCTGAATGGATTTCAAAAGGCAGCTAGAGAAGACAAAGCAGAGTTTTATAATAGAATGTGCAGTGACCTAGAATAGGAGAATAAAAGGGAGGAACTCAGTATTTCTCAAGAAGAAAGAACTGAAAAACAAATTAAGACTTGAGTTTGTAATATTTAGAGATGCTGTGGACAAAATCTTGACTGATCTGGGAAGCAGCAAAAGATGGAGGTAACAGAATCACTGAATCAAAAGGAACTGGCCAACAATGAAATACTTCCAGAAGTACTTTTTGATCCAGAGCAAATAGCAATGAAGGAAGAAGTTCAAACCGCAATGACGTGCTGGCAAAGAATAAGGCCTCAGGAATCGACGGGATACCAATTGACAGTTTCAAATGACAAATGCAGCTATGGATACACTCACCAGTCTATCCTAGGAAATTTGAATGATAGCTGCCTGGCTGACTGAATGAAATCCACTTGTGTTCCTATTCCCAATAGGATGTGGATATTATCAGACAATATCATTATTTTTACATGCAAACAAAAGACTTTTCAAGATTATTCACAGCTACAGCAGTACACAGAGAACTGCCAGATTTCAAACTGGATTTAGAAGAGGTTGTGGCACCAGAAATACCATCACTTATGTCCAATGGATCCTGGTTGAAAACAAAGAATACCAGAAAAAGTCTATGTGTATTTTATTGGCTTTGCAAAGGCAGTTGCTGTGTGGATCATAACAAATTATGGCTAACATTGAGAAGAATGGAAATCCCAGAATACTTGATTGTGTTCATGTGAAACCTATACCTAGACCAAGAGGCTCTTGTGTGAACAGAGCAAGGGAAACACTGTTATTGTTGTTGAGTAGCCTCACGTCGAAACCAATTCATAGCAGACCCTCCAGTGGGTTTTCAGAGGCAGTAAATCACATAGGAGAATGCCCATCCATCTCCCAGTGGCAGCTGGTGAGTTAAAAACAAGGCAGCTTCTTGTCACTGACAAAACAATATATGGTTTCAAATAAAGAGGGATTTGCATCAGGGTTTTATCCTTTCTGTTTAATCTGTAAGCAGAACAAATTATTAGAGAAGCTAGACACTATGAAGAAAAAATGTGGCATCAAGTGTGGAGGAAGTCTCATCACTAACTTTCATTATGCAGATGACACAAGGTTGCTTGCTGAAAGTGAGGATGACATGAAGCCCTGGCTGCAGAAGATTAAACACTGCAGCTTTCACTATGGATTGCATCTCAATGTCAAGAAAAATTCTCACTGTACCAATAAGCAATAACAAGATAGATGGAGAAAAGTTTGGAACTGTCAGTGACTTCACTTTACATATATCCACAATCAATACTCTTGGTACTGCGAGTCAGGAGATCAGGAGATGTATTGCACTGAGAAAGTCTGCAGTCAAGGACCTCTCCAAATTATTGAGGAACAGTGATGCCAGTTTGAGCACTAAGTTGTGCCTGATTCTGTCCATGGTGTTTTTAATCACTTGCAATGCATCTGAGAGCTGGATAGTGACTAAGGATGAAGGAAGAAGAATTGATGTCTTTGAACTGTGCTGTTGGATGAAAGTACTGAATATCCCATGGACTGGCAAAAGAACAAACAGAAATATATTGGAGAAGGTGCAGCCAGAGTGCTCTTTGGAGGCAATGATGATACAACTTCATCTCACATACTTTGAGCATGTTGGTAGAAGAGACGGTTCCTTGTAAAGCGACATCATACTGAGAAAAGTAGTGAATGGCAAATGACAAGAAGACCTCCCACTAGCTGAATTGACAGTGAATAAGGCAATGGGATCAAGTGTGTCAGAGATTATGAGAATGTCACAAATGGGATAGGGTTCAGATTTGTTGTTCATTAGGTCACTTTGAGTTATCCTAAACTCAAGGGTTCCTAACAACAGCAGCAACTATAACCGAGGGTCTCTGTTGGTCTAGTGGAGGAAGTTGTGTTGCAATCCAAAAGCATGTGGTTGGAACCCGCCTGCTGCTCCATGAGAGAAAGATGAGGAATCTCCTGTGCAATTGACTGCCTCTGAAAACCCACTGGAGGCTCAGCTGCAAATCTGTTTCGACTCTAAGGCTCAACAATAACAAAAAACAGCTCTCATTTTGTTAACTACCCTTCTGTTGCTTGAAACCTTTATCCTTTCTAGATGATTTACAACAGTGTGTTACGAACCTGGTAGCACATTAAAGGCACCTAGATCTTTAAAATATATAGGTGCTCTGGCAGATTTGTAGGCATTGATAGAATCTCATATAACAAAGATTGAAAACCACTGTTGAAATCAGAAATAATGTAACAGGCCATTTGGTGACAGGAATAAATTTGCCTGTCTCACATTTTGACAAGCAGGTTTTCAATTCCACTTAAGTGGGTAAGTTGTCTATTCACTTTGGGTTTTTTGTTTTTTTTTGTATGGTTGGTCAACCAACAACTTGAGGTCATAGTGGGGCACAATGAGTGCTGATATTGGGGTCCTGGATACAGTTGTCTCCAGTTGAGCATACTGAGGGATAAAAGGAACTGTTGTGCCTTATGAAATCAGACAAGTGAACTCTCAGCTTTATGCTTCCAAGCTTCACTTTCTTTCCTCTGTGAAATCATCAGAAAGAAGATCCAAGGTCATCCTTTGCGACTTACTTCTTGTCTTCAACTGTCTTTCTGTTATTTTGTTCCTTTAACTCCAGTGACATTTTTGAAACATAATTTACCATCTGCTCTGCAGCTAGCTGAAAGGTGCCTTGGAATGCAGGCCTGGCAGACTGCTCCGAGTAAGGTCACAGCCTTGAAAACTGTGAGCAGTTCTACTCTGCTCACATGAGTCATTGTGAGTCAGACCTGGAGAGCAGCGGACAAGAAGAACCCCAAACTTGGATTTATCTGACCTAGGAATTGGCATTCCACCGTACTTTCTGGGTGGATCTAATGCAAGTAGCCTAGAAAGTCCTTTGTGACAAACATGGCTCTAATTTTTCTAGTGGTTTTTTTTTTCCTCTGAAAAATGAATCATCACCATCATCAGAATCATCTATTTTTAAAATAGCATAGCTTACATTGTTTTTTTCCCCTCTATCTTGTGGGTTAATATGTGGAAAACCCTTCTGTGTTTATGAGAAACACATATTTTAAAGATACAATGACATTCCTATTTTGTTCCCTTATATTTTGTGACTTTATAGATTTTTTTTCTGTTTGATGTGTAACACACACATTCATATAAATATGTATACACACTTGTACATATAGATGAAGACTAATGGCTTCATGATGCTCTTTGATGTTATAAGTGGCAACATAAGAAGAGTGAAAAAGCTCCGGGAAAAATACATATATTTCTTTAATGTCTATTGTATATTCATAAAGAACTGTTTTATGAAAGAAACATTAATTTTATTTCTAATTGGTTTTGAACATTTTTTTCACACTAGCCTCATACCTAGCAAAGATTATTTCATCATTATATCTTGGCACATTTTTTTTTAAAATAGCAGGTGATGCAGATATATCAGGTTTAAACTAACAGTGACTGCCTTTGGAAATAGATGGATGCTTTCAAAAATCAGCAATTATGCTTTAGTATTTTTTTTCTCTTGATTAGCTGTCAGTGTTGTAGGTATCTTGTATATTGGATACTGCAGAAAAAGTTTGTCTTAAAAATATTACATTATACATGAGTGTCATAATTAAAGAAATAAAATGTTTCCTTAGATTCCACTAGTCAATATTTTTTAAATTTTAGTGTTACAATATATCCTTCAAAATGTTAAAAAATAATGATATTTCTTTGAAGACTAAAATGTTCTTGGCCTAGGCCACCTGGTGACTTAGTGGTAAGGAATTGTGCTCCCAGCACAAAGGTACAAGAGTCAAATCTACCAGTTGCTCCAAGGGAGAATGATGGACAAACTCCTTCCGTATTGATTTACTGCCTTTAAAAACCTGCTGGAGGATCAGCTCCAGCTGTTCCCACTTGATAGTCAAAACGTCAACAAAATGCACATATAAAAGCTGAATAATGAGTAAAGAATACCTTTGGAGGACGGTGTTAGTGAAGAACATTGAATAGGCAATGAACTGTTGAACGAATGAACAGGGCTGTCTTGCAAGGTGTGTAGTCAGGAAGCTTCGTAGGAGTGAGGCTGGTGAAAATTCTCACATACTGTGTTCCTGTTGTCAGGAATGACCAGTTCCTAGAGGACATCATGCTTGTGTGAATAGAGGGTGGCTGGAAGAGGGGGCTACAACATAGCAGGACTGTGAAGATGGTGCCCAGCCATGCAGAGTTTTGTCCTGTTGCACGTCGAGTCCCTTTAGTAGGAACCAACTTGATGGCAAGCAAAACCAATAAGTTAAAAAACTTTTAAGTACAAATGCAGATAGTTCTACTACATTTCAGTATTTGAGATGCACTTTCTTCCTTTAGAGTCTATCAATGAACTTCAATTTTCTTCTCAGTAAAAACTTGCATGCAAAATGTTAAACAAAAAACTTGCAAAAAAATATTTTACTGAAATATTGAAAAATGTAGATTTTTAAAGAAACATAACTTTTTATAATATTAATTATCACTATGTGGTATAATTAAAATTTTAAATCTTTAAAATATAATAGTAACTTTTCTATTTAATTTGGTTGCAATTTTATGTTACTGTCAAACCACCATGTTACGCAAATGTATAGTTCTAAAATGATTTCATGATGTAGTAAAACTTGCTTTCTCACACATGACCCTTGTCAGTTTCTTGGCAGTACAGAAGTGGAGCAGCCCAAAGGAACAGAAGTGGTGAGAGATGCTGTGAGGAAGCTAAAGGTAGGTAAGGCCCCCCTAAACCAATGTCTGATGTATTATCCTAAAAGCAGCAATGGTTGGATGAAAATGAAAAGCATGGTTAACTTTGGGGCAGGTTCCTTTGAAAAATGGACTATTCAATAAATAGATAAAGGAAAAAGCTTTACTAATAAATATATACACATCATCCATCATTTTTTCCTCAATTTGGTACACCAATCATATTATTCTTAGGTGTAATTTCTCACACTCAGCAAGAACATTAATAACAATATTTCACAAGTGTTTGCAATAAAATTACTTGCCTTTACTAGAACAATGTAGACTCATGTCTTACCTCAAAAACAATTTTCTGATAATTATGTTATCCACTGATTGTCAGTGCAGGCTTAGTGTTGATTCCAAGGAATGATTTAGTTGTGAAAATGTCTTAAAGGTGTCCTAATACACAAGTGTCACTTTTATGCATACTCATAAGCAATCAATTTGCAGGAGTGGTGAGTTACCACTCATTTCAACTCAGAGTAGAGAAGGACCTTTCATACAAAACCCGACCTACTGACATCAGCAAACTTCCTGAGGAAGTGATATATGAGTTTCTACCCATCGTTTGCTCTCAAATTTCACCCCCTCTCAGAGGATATGATCTCTCACTAGAATACTTCTTTCAACTCTCTCAATGTCAGCTGGATGGATGGATGTGGCCTCTGGAGCCTAGGATAGAGAGAGAGGCAAGTTACCCATGGTGGACAGTGCTTGGTGGAGTTCCCAGGTTGAAACTAGCTTAGAAGCAGGAGTGGCGTCCACTTCCATAAATAGCTTGCCTGCAGAAGCCCCATGAACCTGGAGAAAGGATGAAAGTCATGCATGCAAGTGTCGAGGATATTCGCTCATAAGGTCGTTATGAGTCGTCTATGACTTGACGGCACTTAACAACAACAACAACAACAACATAGTTGCTCTTAAAGGAACTGTCCTTTATGGTTTATAGAACAGTGATTCAAAATAAAGTGAAATATTGACTAGATCAGATTACATAAAAATTGAAATAAAGGTTTCTTCAACAATAATTAATGTACATTTTTGTACGGTTTTAGGTTTGGTTCCTGCATGGTTTCATGTTTTGCAAATAAGATGTATTTTGTTAGCAAAAAGGAATATTGTTTACAATGAAATAAAAGTGTATGGTGTGGTTTAAAAGCATATAAAAAGTATGAAGTATTTTTTAACTTTTAAGGTGTTTTTCAAAGAAAACATTTAATACATAATTTTGGCAAAACAAAAATTTGTAAATGGGAAAATTTTATCAATGGTAATGAAAATGAATACAAGTTCGTTTATATGTTAATGACTTCGTTAGCTTCATTTTCTCAGAGTTCAGAAGCTACATCCCAAAGAATACTAAGAGGGTATATATTTTAAACTGTTCCTAAGCCTCTTTAATTCTGTTGCAATGCAGAAATGGCCAGCAGGTGGTGATATTGCTCTACTCAAAGAAATTTGCTTGGTTAACTACACAACCTCCATTTGAGAGCTCCTTCCACATTTTTGCTACATAAAATCATAAAAATAAGTAATCATCTAATAAAATGATATTTTAAAAATAACTATATTAAATACATTGTAGACAACAGAGCTTTTGAACGTGTTTATGGAATATTTTATATTTTGATTAGTTGCAATCTGAAACATAATAAGGAAAAGTTTGTTGTTTTGAAAAATAAATACTATGAAAGAAAGCACTTCAACACTTATAAGATTTTTATGCTTTTAGGAATTAAATAAATATAATTTTTTCATAAAATGACAGAAAGATAATCCAGAATAAAACAAAAAGGGGTATGAATAAATCCTTGAAACTAGGCATTATACACAGACATATGTAGGGGTAGAGCCCTGGCAGTCTTTACTCTTTTTTTTCTTTTTTAAGATTATTAACTTTTGAACTCTCATTTAATAGCATTTGCCAATACATTAATGTTGTTCGTTTTGGAAAAAGATTGACTTGAATAAAAATGAAATGTCACCTTAGGTGTCAAATAAGAGAAAATACCAAACTACAGTGATTTTTTTTTAAAGGAATCAGAATAAACAAGCCAAACCCACTGCTATCTTGTTGATTCCAATTCCTGGTGAGTCTTCTTCCTCCAGACTCTGAGAGGACTGCCCATTCTCTCCTCCACAGACCTTTCAGTGAGCATAGTACATCACAATACACCACACTCTCATTGCCATAGAGTTGGAACCGACTCTAAGTAACCCTCCATTTGATTTCTGAGGCTCTAAATCACTTGAGGAGAGGGCCCACCTTTATCTCTGTGATCCACTCCTGGATCTCAACAGCCAGAAATGCTTGACCTTTGGGTTAGCAATGCACAGCTCCCTTGGGGAAAATGAAAATTCTGCTCTGACTAAGCAGTCCCCTGACCGCCAGTGTAGAGCTGTGCTCCATTGGCACTTCAATGATGTAAGCATCAGAATTCTATGCTCATTCTATTCTATTCTATTCTATTCTATTCTATTCTATTCTATTCTATTCTATTCTATTCTATTCTATTAATTTTTTCCCAGGCTTCTCTAGCCACACCTAGAAACTTTGAACTTAAAGTCAGCAGCTATGCACGTTGTTTATATCACTTAGGGCTCCTAAAGAAAAATTAGTTTCATCATGAGGTGGAATCAATTCCTAGGCACGTTGGCCCTGTAGGATATAGCAGAACTACCCCATCAGGTTTCCTAGAAGCAAATTATAGGTCTTTTACCCTACAAAACAGTTGATGGGTTCAAACCTGAGATCTTTCAGTTAGTAGCCAACCACTTAACCATTGTACTATCAGGGATCACAGAGTGAAATTACATGGGGTTATTTTATGGAAACATAACTCAAGAAATTACACCCCCGTCCTGTTGATTCTCTGAGGAAGACCCTCAAGGAGATGGACTATAACAGTGACTGTAACACTGGACTCCAGGATGCTGCAGATCTTGAGGATGATGGATAGAGAGCAAGATTCTGATCTGCTTGTTATTCATAGCATCACTACAAGTCCTACTTGACTTGCTGGCACCTACCAGCAACAACAGCAGCCTTTTGATAATCACATAGTATGTCCATTCAGTGTTACTTTCTATAAGTGGTTTAACATTCTCTTTTTGCCATCAGAACTGTCATTTAATCAATAAAATACTTAGGTTCATTGCAATTTTATATGAGAGTGTGTGTGTGTGTGTGTGTGTGTGTGTGTGCGCACGCGTGTGTGTGTAAACGGATTTCTCCACACAATTATTGATGATACCTTCAAGTTAATAATTTTGGTACAAAGGCTGACAAAGAGAAAGAAATTACTTGGTTCATAAAGCGGCCTTAGACTTACTGATCCAAGGTAGTAAATGAACTAGCCTTCTGACCTAATAAAGTGTTGTCTTTTGGTAACCTCATTAGACTTGTTAAATTAAAAAAAAAAAGTACCCTGAGAAATCTGTAGAAATTTCTAAATTTCTTAGTGATCACATTGAAGTATAGTAGTCCATCTATTATATTTTCTTCAATAAGTTTACTTACCAGTGACATATTTAACTCAGTTCAATAGGTCTTTCAGGGAATAATTTCTATTTCCCAATAATTTTGTGGAGATAAAAGCTGCTTTTTCTGTATTTGCTTCTTGTATTGAGATTTTCTTAATAGTCTTTATGACTTGTAAGATAAATTTTATTGGATTATTATAATTAAGTTTTAAGGGTAGAACAATCTATGTAAATGACCAAGAAATGAATTAATTGAAGCCAAAATAGAAACAAATTCATCAAAAGACTTAAAAAATATTAACACTTAATAAGTAAGGAGAAAAAAGAATAAGAATGAATAATTAGCATTTTTCAAAATGCACATTAGGAATATTTTGGAACTTATAATGAGAGGGTAGATGTAAGCTAGAACATAGTCACCCTAACTTTTTTAAAATGGGCCAAGAAAGAGTACCTTAAACTCTGTAAAATGAAAATTGAACAAAAAACTAGACTACAGATTTTGTCATATATATGCAAAAATTAAAGCCAATGACCAAATATAATTTAATGTACATGAAAATAAAATGGCAGTTACTTAATGAAGAAAACAAGTGCAATGGGAAAGGTGCTATTCGATGGGCATTAAAACCCCTAGGGTTTTTTTTCTGTTTTTAAAACATTTTTTAAAACCCCTAGTTTTATAGGCTTAAAAACTTATGAACTCATGAGTAAGAGAAAGAATTAACTCCTTTGCACTTAGTTTTCAGGTCTTTGAAATGGAATCACTGAATTGAATAACCTTTAAGCTTCTTTGAGTAAAATTCTTTTCTTTTGATACAAAGAAAAGAGAAATATTTCTGTGGTTCTTTTTCTCTTTGCCCGCCTCCATTTCTTCCTTCCCAATCTTTAGCCACTGCCCCCCTCTTTCTGTCTTCATTTCCTTTACTCTTTTCTCTTCCTTTCCCCTCTGTGTTTGCTCACAAGTTTTCTCATCTCTCTTCCTTTCTTCCTTTCAGTAGATTGGTTAATTATCATTGCCAGGGAGTCAGAATCTTCCTTGTAGCTTCCAAGAAGACCCCATAGCTCCCTAGCTGACCTTCCATTGGGTTTCCAAGGCTATAAATCACACGAGAGGAGATTGCCCATCTTTCCCTTGAGAAGGAGATGATGGTTAACTCTAAATACCAGAAAAGCTCAGCTTTGGGTTACCAGTACAACTCCCTACTCTCTAGTCATTGGTGCTCCTTGTGTTTATTTTATGGTTGATTTTTTGGGACATTGAAAAGTAAAAAAAAACTTCTCATCCGAGATTATAGAAATGGCTGTGTCTAGATCTTGAAGAGGCCTCAAGAGCATTTAATAAGCTTAGCTATGAACAGAAATTTTTTAGTACTTTGAATACACCAAGCTCTGGGGAAAAGATGAATAGTCTCTCCCTGTAAAGATTTATAGCCTCAGAAAATAATGAATGGTCTACATGAGCCAGACTCACCTTGATTGGAGAGCTGTGGATTTCCTTTTGGTTACTAAGAAAGCACAGACCACTTGTGCAATCAGAGATAAGAGTTTCTTGAGATGCTGTTAAATAGATGAAGAGTAGTGGGTTTATTTTATAACCCTTCTTATAGTAAGACACTCAGATTGTTTTGATTTTGTCAATTAAGAAAGGAAGGAGATCACTAATAGAAAAGAAACACAATCCACATACTTTGGGGCAAAGTGATGATAATTTTAAAATATTTGCACTGAAGCAAAACAAATGGCTTAAATTCAAAAAGGAAATTCTCTGACACAAGTTAGTCAAATTTAGGTGCAAAATGTAAAATTATTGGTTAGGGAAAAAAAAGTGCTGCTCACATTCATCGGACAGCACAGACATCATGATGAAAACTTAAACTACACACAAATAGGATAAAACAAGTGGTGCCCTAAGATAGTGAAGTAGATGTGTCAAGACATCCACATACGCATTGGTTATATTAGCCTCTAAAGCAGTGTAAAGCCATGAGAACAGAAAAAAAAAGCTTTTAACTACTTTCTATGACAGGAATGAACTCTACCATATGTATTCACATCTGCCCTAAATTAGACTGAATGTGCAGTGCAAATAAACATGACACAAACTCTGCTACAAATGCAATCAATTCCAATACAGGTTAAAATCACCCATGTGTCGAGAAAATATTAGACTAGGAAATAGTTTTTGAAGTCCTGAAAAAATGGATGCGAAAACCTATGGAACGTTTCCTATAGATTTCGTTTATAAATAAGAAAGGTAGAAACAGGGAAAAGAAAGGATTAGAAGGTGGGAAGGGAATGTAGGGAGTACAGGAAAGTAGGAAAGAGTTTGATTGCCAGAAAATATGAGTAAAAACTGTAAGAGAAAATGGAAAGCTTTGAATTATGTTGATGAAGAATAGTCAGTTTACTCTAGATAGCCAGGATACAAAATATGCCTTAATCCATGGAAGAAGTATGGTCAGAATAGGATGGGGAGACTTCCTCACACGTAATGAGCCATGTCATCGATAGAACGGAACCAGCAGCATTTTTAGCAGAGGGTGAAGGGAGCTCTGGTGGCCTAGTAGCAAGTAGCTGCGCTGCAATCTCAGAGGCACATGGTTTGAGGCCACCAGCTGCTCCATGGGAATAGGATGGACAGTCTTCTCTTGTGCAATTAACTGCCTCTAATAACCCATCAGAGGGTCAGTTATGGGTCAGTTCTGACTCTGCGGTACACAACAACAACACAGAGTCAAGGGGAGGAGGGAAGAACCTCAAAAGATGGTTTTGCATAGTGTCTACAGCAGCGTGCTCAAATATAACTGATTTTGAGCATCTTGCAAAATTAGACAGTGTTTTATTCTGTTGTTGAATTGGAAATAACCTTGATGACACCTAACAAGAATGGTAGCGATGTATGATACAATCAGTACAACCTCCTAATTTTGAATATTATTAGCAATATGTTTTCTATTTTATAAAAATATTACATGAAACATATTTATGCCAAATTTATATATATGTTACATGTACTACTTTGGAAGCAGGAGTGGCATCCATTTCCTAAACAACGTGCCTCTGGAAACCCTATGAACTTTGATAAATGATGATTGATATAGGAAGGCTGCAGACTTTTTCTCATAGAGTCTCTATGAGTCGTACTCAACTTAACGGCAAAGGAAAACAACAACATATGTCCGCACACTGCCATTGTGCCCACTTTGACTCATGGTGACTCTCCATTGGCTTTCTGAGACTGTAAATCTTTTTGGAAAGAGAAAAATCCAATTTTCTCTCACAGAACAACTAATGGATTTGAACCATTGAACTTGGCGTTTGTAGGAAAACTTGTAGTATCATGCTACCAGAGCTCCTTAGGTACATTACCACATAGATAGTGTGTACACATATACACTAATAGGAATGTATATAAATCTTATTTAAAATATATGTTGTTTAATATTAAAATTTAACTAGGCCCTTATAACTACCCCCACACATACACAAAATCTAGTAATGCTAAAATAAAAGAAGAAATTCCAACTGCCAAATGCCTAAGTACTCAGGTTTTCTGTTTTATTTTATAATGGAATCTAGTTAAGTTTTTCATGTACATCACTATTTACTGAGACAGTATGGGAAATTTTACTTAAGCAAACCAGCAAAACTTTCCATCTACTCACAGTATTTACACTTTTAAACATTTATTTCTATGGTCGAGGCTTTAGCTAGAATAATTATTTCATCTCTCAGCCTTCATTTGAGTATGTCATGTCTGTCTGCATCGTTGATTTGATTGGTGGCAGAGTGTTCCTTACTAGGTAAATACCTAGGAATCATTAAAATAAAGCTTACTCAACAGCTGGTAAAATGTCCTTAGAAAAAGTAGTTAATTTCTTCTTCTAAGGAAGTTTTCTTTTTCTCAGTTGTTTTGGTGAAATGATATATACATGTGTGTTTATCATTTAAAAAGTGCATCTAGGTTCGTATTTTTAAAAACTTAACAAAAATCATTATGAATTTTGGTTGTAAGTAACTACACTTTTGGAATACTTATGAAGCTGTTGGCTTTATAGAATTCTTTATAATTCAGATAATAAAATTGTATCATGAATATAAACTTCAAATGTATGTATGTGGCCATCTTAGAAACAGAATTATAACTTTGTGAATCCTCTTTTATTTACAGTTTGCCAGACATATAAAAAAATCTGAAGGCCAGAAAATTCCTAAAGTTGAGTTACAAATATCAATTTATGGAGTAAAAATTCTAGAACCTAAAACAAAGGTAAAGTGATTTTGACTTCTCTAATTTGATCTTACCTTTTTTTTTAATAGAAAGTCCTCTGATATTTGACTTCAATTATAGTTATATTTTAATGATTAGTTTAAGTTTTTAATTACCAAATAGGATTTTCTAGTTCTCAGTGAAAAATAAAGTTCTATACGATTTTTTGGAGGCTAAATCTTGGGACTTTCTTTCTGTGTGTTTATTTCTGAAAATATGATTAATTTATAGTAGTTTATATTAAATGTATTCATGAATGTGTAGGTTTGTACTTAGAAATTTTTCTTTCTGTGGTTCAGTAAGTAGGAAGAAAGACAAAAGTAGTATTATTTATTCAGATGCTCTGGACTGGCCCTTATTGTCGGTATATATAGCCAGTTAAGCCTAACATTTTCTATTTAAGAAATTTTATGCCTACATATAAAAATGTTTTAAAAGATAAAAAATTTCAATTCAAAATAGTTTCTATGTATTTGTTCACAATGCCTTAGAAGTATTTCTTATTAATTTTGATCTGTGGTGTTGGAGAATAATATTGAATATGCCACAGACTGCTAAGAGAACAAACAGATTCATTCTGGAGAGGGTGAAGCCAGGCTACTCCTTGGAGGCAAGGATTCTGAAGCTTCATCTGACATACTTTGGACGTGTTGCAAGGAGAGACCAGTCTTTGGAGAGGGATGTCATACTTGGGAGGGTGGAGGGACAGTGCAGGAGAGGAAGACTCTCGATGAGATGGATTGATTCAGTCACTGTGCTAATGGGAAACAATGAGATTGGCACAGGATAGGGTAGAGTTTAGGGCTGTTGTACAAAGGGTCGCTGTGAGTCGCAGATGATTTGACAGCACATAGCAGCAACAACAATTAAGATAATATTACAAGAGTTCAGAGAATCTGGCTAACTTTTACCTCCAAAATATTTTGCAGATAAATTGTCAGTGCGTGCCTCTTAACATTGTTTGTTTTTGTTGCTGTGCCATTGAGTCACAGCCAAGTCATCACTGACCCTCCCGCTGATTTTTAGAAGCAGCTTGTGCATTCTCTCCCTGTGGAGCAGCTGGTGGATTGTAGTGAAGCTTCTTAGGACTAAGCCTCCGGAGCTCCCTTTATCACCGTAGCATGCTTTATAGTTACTCTTACTCCTCACTTACTGACTATATTGTTATCTGACATTTCACACTTATACAATAGTAAAAATTCTACTCTCTATTTTGTACTAATGATGTGGTTATTACTATGGCCATGACCTCTGGTTGGTATACAGGCAGCCTGAGTCGTTGGGTCCTTGTGTGGTTCTCAGCTTCTGTGCACCCGGCATTGTTATTGTTGATGTTGTTAGGTACTGTTGAGTAGCTTGCGAATCATACCAACCCTATGTACAAGAGCCCTAAACCCTGCTCTATCCTGTGCCAACCTCGTCATCTCCGACACACCTATGAAACTTAAAATTTCTGTGGGATGGAGTCTTAGTTATTTTCTGCTGCCATAAAAGAAATACTATAAAGAGATTAACAAAGAGAAACTTATTATCTCACATGTTAGGAGGCTAGAAGTTTAAATTCTGCATACAACCCAAGGGGAACACTTTTTGTCTTGACTCTGGGGAAGGCCTTTGTCTCCCGTCAATAACTGTGGGCTTGGCATCCCTTGGAGATCTCCATGTATGTTGGCATCAATATTCCCCTGGGTCTAGGAGGTTCACAGTACAAAGAATATGGGTCCAAAGGACATGCTCTGTCCACAACTCTTTCTTGGTAATACTGACATTTCCCCCTCTGCTTGCTTGTTGTTTGTTGTTGTGTACCATAGTGTTGAAACAGACACATAGCTGACTCTCTGGCAGGTTTTCAGAGGCAGTAAATTGCATGGGAAGAGATTGCCCATCCTTCTTCCACAGAGCAGCTGGTGGTCTTGAACCTTGTGCCTTTGGGATTGCACCACAGCTTCTTGACCAGAACTAATATATTGCAAAAAAGATTGCTTCAAAATACCACCTAATCCTGTATATTGTATCTTAAGCCATTAGTGCAATTACCACTATTCCTGCTTCATTAAGATCATAGATGTTAGGATTAGCAACATATAGAATAATGGCCCTTGGGAATGCAGTTCATTTTCTTACCAGTAGGCCACCAGAGCTACCTACATGTTTTGTTGTTGTTGTGTATCATAGAGTCAGAACTGAGCCATAGTTTACCCACTCATGCATTTAATGAGGCAGTTAATACGTGGGAGGAGATTGCCTGTCTTTCTCCTGGAACGCAGCTGGTGCCCTCAAACTGTGTTCATTTTGGGATTGCAACACAGCTTCTTGCGACTAGGCCTCAAGAGCTCTGTACACACATTTCAGAGGAAAACAATTCAATCCATAACAAATGGGAAGAAAAAAGGAAAAGAGGAAAGAAAGGGACATCAAAGAAGGTGTTTGGGAGGGAATTTATTGACATCCTAAAGTAAACTGAACTGGGCCTGTCCACAACCAGGCTACCAGTGTCATTGACAGAAGCCCTAGACTGTGTGAGTGGCCTGATTTCGCAGGGAAGAGCAGGCTCTGGGATCAGAACATAAGACTTGCAGGAGTGGGAGTAGTAACCTGGAGGAGGTTCCTCAAAGGAAGCTGTAAGTTAGCACAGGAGGAAGGTGAGGTGATTAAGCTGTGGGTCCTCCATTCACCTAGCTCTGAGCCTCTTCTCTATAGAGGGATAACTTATAACTGGACTTGTTGCAGTGATGAAACCATCATTGCATAATCACTTTCATTATTTCAGGATCATATGTTTTAAATTTTTGAAAACTCAAACATATGGAGTATTTGAAGACAGAGAGGATAGAGTGTCTTCCATTTGCACATAATGTCAGTCTTCCCATACTGACCTTCTCTATGAAGCCTGCACATGCTGATAAACACAGAGTGAGTGGTCTGCATCTTCAAAGTCCAAACAAATCCTGGGCTTTCTGTGACTAGATTTCACAAGTGTTCTCCACAGGTCTGCAACTTTGCATTAGTCTAGTGAGGGATGATACTACATTTGTGTGAGTCCCAACTTCTGCCAGAATATGGCTATTACAACTGTAGTATGCAACATCAGCAGTATTTGGGAGCTTCTTGGAAATGTCTAATCTGAGGTCCCAGTCCAGACCTACTGACTCTGAATTGTCAATTTAAGCAGACTCCTCTGACTCATATGCACATTCAAGTTTGAGGTATTCTGGTGTGTTACACATTCTAGTGGCTAGAAGTATGATCTTTATTTTCAAATTGCAGGGTAAGAAACAATCAGTGCATTTGTGGAAACAAGTTCTCAGACCTCCATTTCAGACAACATGATCAGAATCTCTGAATATAGAACTTTCCCGTTTTTAATCAGAGAACAATTGGAATACACCATGGATTCACCCATGGTTATTGTTCATTTTCAAATGAAAGAACAATGACATTCTTTCTGATTTTGAGCCATTTATTCAAAACCTCCCACAACAATGCTTCCTAATTTCCTCCTATTCTCCACCGTCGGTATTAAGTAGCAAACAAAGAAGTAGAGATGTTACTTTTGTTCGCCTGTCCAAAAATAACTGCTGTCAGAGGTGGCTAACACAGACAAAGAAAATAATTGAAAGGAGATTCAAGCATACAATAGGATCATGCAGTTTTCTGGCAAAAATGGCAATTGAAAGTGAGACACTATCTACTGAAAAGATTGTTTGGATCAAACAACTACTTATTAGGCAATTATAAGCTACAAAGCATAGTCTTAGTATAAATGATCTCCAAGAAAATAATGATAGTCCTGCATTTCCTTTTTTAAAAAAGAAATTTGTTTATATGTCAAACTAAAATAAGTAGTTTGTAGGTCTTCTTTCTGTTGAATATTTTTTCTCAACTATACAGATTTTATAACAGGCATAGAGTTTTGTTCAAGTGTATAATGTTAAGAGATGAATTATGGAAATGTGAATGTGGTTCAGTGTTAAAAAATTTTAGGTGAAGAATATATAGATATATATTGCAACATTTCTTTAATCTGACTAATCTATTGTTCCTTGCAAGATACTATTAGTTTTTAAAGTAAGACTTTGTCCTCCAATGACAACTACACAAAAAGCTTGAAAACCAACAAGCTAAGCAAATAGTATTTTATTGTGATTTGAGTTTTCCACTTGAGCCATACACAGAACTCGTCCATTCCTTCCGCATATTTACCATTGCTGGTCCTCATCCTTACTTGTCCCTTCCAGCCATCTCTCTGAGAACACTGCTCTTTAGATATCATGTGGCTGCCTGTTTGAAGGAGTGAGTGTATTCTTGGTGTTATTATTAATCTAATAAGCATGATTATTGTTTGGCTGAATATTGAGACCCTGGAATGACTTCATTTCCAGACTTGAAAGGTCATTCTAGCCATGGTCTCAAAGGTTCTGCCAGTCTCTATCTGATCAATAAGCCATATCATCTTAATGATTTTTACTTTGCTCCACCTTATTCTTCCACTCTACCCAAGATGGGTAGTGTGATCCCTACTACTCAGAGTGGTAGTGATCTGTAGTGACATCTGGTGGTCAGAGTGATGGGTAGTGATAGCCAGGCACCATCTAGTTCTTCTGGTCTCAGCATCATGGAGGCAAAGGTCCATTAATCCTCCAGATTCATTTTACCCCAGGGGTCTTTGATTTTTGTTTTTCTTTGCTCCAGATGGGGAGATACCAATAGCTGTCCCTTACATGGCCACGGAAGCTTTTAAAATCTTTATTATTTACTGTGGTAGACTGTAGATCATTTTCATTATGGAATGTGTTATTCCAATTGATTTTTTTATCCATCGAGTCTATGATTCTGAGTCCTAGGTCCAGAAACTCATTACCTCAAGGTGTTTGATTATTGCTGAGGACTGTATGGAAATGCAAGCTAAACAGGTGGAACATTGCTCTACACTCATTGATGTATATGCATGTATATGTGTATATATATCACATACACTCTATCAAATTCTAAATGTATATAAATGCATTGGTGGTGTTGTTGAGTACCATCGGATTGGAACTGACCCATAGATAACTCTCTAGTAGGTTTTTGAAGCAGTTAATAGCATGCAAGCAGATTGCTCATCCTTCTTCTGCAGAGTAGCTGGTAGATTCGAACCACATGCCTTCTGGATTGCAGTGAAGTTTCTTAAGAATAGGCCACCAGAGCTCCCTTATAAATACGTGTGTGTGTTTGTGTGTGTGTGTGTAATTTGGCAGAGGATAGTCTACATGATAGAGCAGCATGGTTTAGGGCTGCTGTACATAGGGTGGGTCACTATGAGTTGCAGGTGACTCTATAGCACATAACAACAAAACTAACAACAGCAATAAGTCTATGTGAATAGTTGTATGTGAAGTGAATATGTCCATGAATGTAATAGAATATAAAGGGAGCAAACTGTAAAAGCTATTTAATACTTGCTGTTGTCAAGTAGAATTATTATATGAATTTCCATTTCTTTCCTTTAGTCCAGTTATTCTCATAATCTTTTGAATAAAGGTTAATTCAGTATGTCAGGTTTGGGTTTTTTAAATTAAATTTCATTTTATTATTTTGTGTGTGTACCATCAAATTGGATCTGACTGGTACAGGAAGAGATTGCCCCTACTTCTCCAGCAGAGCATCTGGTGGATTCAAACCACAATATGTCCTTTTTTAAAACTTCTCAACGTGTACTTTTCTTCTCCACCAAGTTGGTTGGTTAGTTATTTTATCTTATATCTGTTGTGTAATGAATAATGTTTTAAAGTTTGCCAAGAAGTTGAAAGTAAAGTTGTCCCTATGTTTATTACTAATTTATTTTTAGGAAGCTCTGGTGGCCTAGTGGCAAGAAATTGGGTTGCAATCCCAAAGGCACTTGGTTCGAGGCCACCATCTGCTCTGTGGGAGAAGGATGGGCATCTCCTTCTACACAATTAACTGCCTCTGAAAACCCACGAGAGAATCAGCTATGTGTCAGTTCTGACATCACAATACCACAACATTTTTACCAACCGTTGTGTTATTGTTATGTGCCATCGAGTTGGAACCAATTCATATTGGACCTTCTAGTAGATTTTCAGAAGCTGTAAGTCACACAGGAGAAAATTGTTCATCTCTCTTTTTTTAGACTCCAAAATTATGACTAATGGTTATACTTTGTGAGATTTAGGTTTATAAATAGCATTTTTCTTTATCTGTTTTAGTGGAGGAGAAAGTGTTACAGATTTTAGCATGCTTGATTGATGCATCAGTGTCCTTACTGTTATAACCAGCTTGATGCAAAACTTTTAAGTAGGCATGATTTGTATTTTTTATATTTCTGGTAAAATGACTATTTTATATCTTGTAGTTGTATGGATTAATGTATTTTACTTATGTTGTTGCTAATATAGATATAGATGATATAGATTAGAGATAGAGATAGAGATAGAGACAGAGATAGAGATAGAGATAGAGAGATGGTTATGTATGTATTTAGAGAGTGTGTGTGTTTGTGTGTATTTGTATTTGTGTGTGTGTACTTTCCAACATTAAATGACACTTATCTCTGCTATTTTGGATGGATTCTAGAATTAAGTGAGAATGTATTCATAATAACTTTTTAATATTTGCCTTTCTGTTGCTTAGAATATTTGACCCTGTTTTGGATGCTGGATAAAGATTTGTGTTTGAATCCTAGTTTTGCTGATTATGTAATATTGTGTAAATATCGTAAGGTATTTAGTTCTCAATATTCTCTTATGTAAAATATCAGGATATAGAGTAATGATTTATCATTCTTTGTAGCTCTCATATTCCATGAATCTTTGATTCTTTTGATTTGTGTTTTTGTTCTTCTAAGTACTATTGAAAGGAATATCTTACTTTAATCCTGAGTCAGGAGGTTCATCCCCATTACATATTTGTTTATGTTTGGAGTATACATAATTATACAACTAAAGGAAGACAGATGGTTGTTCCACTTGCAAAGTCATATGTTATATGTTATTAACCCAAGCTGGTGTTTCAGAAAAAGGAAAAGAAATATTCATCAACTATGTTTATTTCCATATGTGTTCACAGGAAGTCCAGCACAATTGCCAACTTCACAGAATATCATTTTGTGCAGATGATAAAACTGACAAGAGGATATTCACTTTCATATGTAAAGATTCTGAGTCAAATAAACATTTGTGCTATGTATTTGACAGCGAAAAGTGTGTAAGTATGCCAGATGTTTTAGGGTGGTTTATTCTGTTTTACAAGCCAGGAATTGTCTTGTTTCCGGCATTAGTAAAAGTATTTGGAAATGAATAAAGCCTGCAAGTACTTAACTGCACTAATAGATTCATCCTGCCTTGAGAATATTCTTCAGGATTTTATCCTTAACTGAAGTCTCATGTTCATGAACTTAAATTTTCATGCAAATTTATTTACTAAGAATGTCATGCTAGTTTATGTTACACAATTATTTTTCTTATGATCATTTAATTTATTAGTACTCTTAATCTCAGAGATGATTTATTAACTCTATACATAATGAAAAGAACTTTGGTGAGCAAATTATTTTTTGTTATTATTTATTTTTGGAAATGATGAATTTGATGAAAATGCTCACCCTCAGGAATTAAAATCTATGTGGTATTTTAAAAAAATATCCTAGTGCTTTCAAGATTTGGTTCTTGATATTCATTATGCAGAAAATATAATGATATTCATTATGCAGGAAGTAATTGTGTGTCTCTCTCTGTGTGTATATGTGTTTTCTTGTGAATTCAATTGAATGTTCTTGGAAAATAAGAAGAGTTATGAAATTGCTAAATTAAGTTCTGTAACAGTGTTTTAATCTCTGGAATTTTAAGGAAAACCTTAGGCCTTGATTACCAGCATGTTGTTGTTGTTAGGTGCTGTTAAGTTGAGTATGAACAGCAGACCAGAATCCTGTCCTATATTGGACCTTTCTCACTATCTTTGATACACTTGAGTCCATTGCTGCAGTCACCATGTCAATCCATCTTGTTTGGGATCTTGCTCTCTTTAGCTGACCCTCCACCTTTTCAAGTGTGATATCCTTTTCTAATGAATAGCCTCTCCTAGCAACATGTCCAAAATATGAGAGATGGTGTTTCATCATCCTTGCCTCCAAGAAGCAATCTGATTGTACTTCCACCAAGACATTTTTGTTGTTCTTCTTCTTTTGGCTATCCATAGGATATTCAATACTCTTTTCCAACACCACAGCTCAAAAGCATCAATTAACCCTTTAGGCCAGCTCACACGTAATAACGTGATTGAAAAGATCATGGCCTGAATCAGGTATACCTTAATCTTCAAACTCACATCATTGCTCTTCAGTATTTTGCAGAGGTCCCAAAACAGACTTTCCTAGTGCAATATATCTCCTAGTCTCCTGACTCCTGGAACCACTGGTGCTGATTGTTGTTCCCAGTAAGATGAAATCATTGACCGTTTCAGTCCTTTCTCTCTCATGATGTTGCCTATTGGTCCAGCAAGAACCTTTGTTTTCTTGATGTTGTGATACAATCTATGTTGAAGGCTGTATTCTTTGGTCTTCTAAAGAAAGGACTTCAGGTCCTCCTCACATTCTGCAAGCAAAGCTTGTGCCATTTGCATAACACAGGTTGTTAATGAGTCTTTGTAAAGTGAGCAAGGGCAGCATGAGGACAGCCATATATGACTTCCATCAACTCTACAAAAGAGAATTGTCCCCATCAATAACTGCCACAACACAAAACTGATTCCCATGAAGTCAGATACATCCCCTTCCCCCCCCCCCCCCCGCCACACTCTTTCTACTCATTCCAAACCACTCTTACTGCTCTACTGGGTCCAAAATCCATTACAGTAGCTCAGAGACCACCTACAACCATAGCAGGGAAGTCAAGCCTATATTTTAGGTTCATAGCAGAATATAGTCACACAATCAGGAGAGCTGTTGAAATGCGCTCACAAGTGCCTCAGCCTTCAGCCTCAACCACAGCTTTAGGCTAATGTTGCAAAGCTTAATCCTGCCACTTAGGGCTCACTCTGCCAATAAAACTTGGTCAAAGGCCCTTAACTCTGTTTTTTTTAGAGTAGCAGTGCCAGAGTCAGCCACATTTCATGTGGGGTCTTTAATTCTCTGCTTTGACAGTTGCTGCTCTTCTGTAGGTCTTGCTGATTCAAGAATCCCTGGCCGCAAAGATTGTAATACATTATCTTGTGTCTTCTTTGCTGATAGTGAGGTTCTCAAAATCTGTCACTGAGTCTGCTCAATTTAATGGTGAGTGTAGCCAAGCCCCTTGTGGATAGACTAACATGCCCTATTCATGTATTTCTGCCCATCCACATGGCAAAGTCAAAGTCAATGGCTAAGGGAGCAATTTTTAGCAATAAACTCTTAACATCACAGTTTTCATGCTATCTTGATGCTATATTCTTCTTCATAAAGTTCCGCTTATTTGCTCAGCATACAGTTTATATAGGAATGGAGAAAGGGTATAACCTTGACACACTTTTAACCTTGACAGGCTTTTAAACCATGCAGTGTTCTTTGTTTCATTTGGACAACAGCTTCTTGCTCATGGTATAGATTTTTAATGAACACTGGTAAGTGTTCTGGGATTCCCAGTTTTTTCAGTGTTAACTTTGTTGGGATCCACATAATCATATACTTTGGCATGGTCAAAAAAAACACAGATATTCTTCTGATAGTCTCTGTTTCAACCAGGATACATCTGACATTAACTGTGATATCCCTGGTGCCACAGCCTCTTCTGAAACCTAGCTTGAATTTGTTTAAGTTCCCTGTCAGTGTACTTTTTCAGCCATTTTTGGTTGATCTTCAGCATTATCTTGTTGCATGTCATACTACCGATTAGTTTTTATTTCCATATTCTGTTCGATCACCTTTTTTTTGGAAGGGGAACAAATATGGATCTCTTCCAGTCAGTCCTGGCATAGACTGGTGAGCATGTCCAGGGCTGCATCTGTCATTTGGAGTGTCAAATAGTATCCCATCTATTCATGGGACCTGAATTTTGCCAGTGTCTTCAGTGTAGCTTGAACTTCTTCCTTTGTTACCATGAACTCTTGTTCATGTGGTACTTCTTGATTTTTTTCATTGTTTTCCAGTTATTTTTGGTACAGTGATTCTGTGTATTCCTTCCATCATCTTTTGAAGCTTCCTGGATCATTCAAGGTTTTTCCCCACAACATCTCTCAGTATAGCAACTTGAGGCTTAGATTTGCTTTTCAGTTATTCCAGCTTGATAAATGATGAATGAATTTCATTCTCTGACTTAATTTCTTCACACATCTCCTTTTATTCTCTGACTCCATTTCTTAGCACATTTTGTTAAAATAACTTGCTTTGTCTTCCCACACTACCCTTTGAAATCATCTGTTCAACTCTTTAACTTTGGCATCTCTTTCCTTTGTTTTGGCTTTTTAAAGCCAAATGCAATTTTCATATTTCTCCTAGCATTCATTTTAGTTTTGTTCTTTCTTCTCTGTCTTCATATTGACCGTTTGCTGTTTTCAGAAATGATATCCATGATTATAAGCTTAAGCCAATGCTAATTGTAATCTACTTTGAGTTTCTATTGTAAAATATGTTGTTGTTTATTTATTGCCTTTGAGTCGAGCACAACTCATAGTTACCCTGTGAACGAAAGGCCTGAAGCCCCTTCACAACTATCAACATTTATCAAAGTTCATAGAGTTTCCGGAGACATGTTATTTAGGAAGTGGATGCCACTCCTGAAAAATATAAGATGTGAAGTTCAACTACCTTTTACAGTCTTTGATGATTTTAGTGAAGAACATTGAATTTAAGTAAGATTACTGGCTTAGACTAGAAATTGAATTTTTTTATTTATTTGCTATTTTTTTTCTGTCAAAAAATAGCAGAAAGTTAAAATTATTTTACTATCCCAAATGGCATAGTTAACTATTTAGCTATGACCTAAAATGTTGGTGGCTTGAATATACCTGAAGGTGCTTTGTGCATGTAATTAATACTGGCAAGTTTGAAATCTCTGCATATATGGATGTAGCACTGAAAAAAAACATACAAAACCAAAATAGTTTATTCTGATACATGGTAATACAATGCACTGAAGACAAAAACTATATATTCCATAAGCTTTCTAAGGCTTTAACCTTTCAAAGCAAATGTTATAGTCTTTCTTCTGAGGTGCCTGTGGGTTCTTTCAAACTGTTAGTCATTGAGTGCCTTGTAGTTTGTGTCATCCAGAAAGAGTAAAAGTTGGAAGTCATTAGTGACCATGAGCTGTGGATTAGCTATCCCCTATGTATTGTTAAAACATCTTTTATTTTATAAAAATATGCTTTATTGGCTATGCAAAGGCATTTCGCTCTGTGGATCATATCAAATTATGGCTAACATGGAAAAGAAAGAAAATCCCAGAACACTTTCTTTTGTTTATGCTAAACCTATACCTAGACCAAGAGGCTATTGTGTGAAGGAAGCACTGTATAGTTTAAAATCAAAAATGGTGCGTGTCTGGGCTATATCCTTTCTTCATTATTATTCACATTCATATGCATAAAATGTATGGTGAGCAAATTATTTAAGAAGTTGACCTTTATTCATATTCATATACATAATATGTATGATGAGCAAATAATTCAAGAAGTTGGACTTTATGAAGAGAAATGTAGCGTCAGAGTCAGAAGACGACTCATAAACAACCTTCATTATATAGATGGCATAACCTCATTTACTGAAAATAAAAGAACTAGAAATACTTGATGCAGAAGATAGAAGACTATAGCAACATGAGTTGCATCTCAACATGAAGACGACAAAAATATTTACCACTAGGCCAGTAAACAATATCATGGCAAATGGAAAAAAGAATGAAACTGTCAGTGATCATCTTTCTTGGATCCATAGTCACCACCCTTAGTATGAGCAGTCAAGAAATTAGAAAATGTGTTGTCAAAAAAAAAAAAAAAGAACCTCTTCAAAGGGTGAGGAACAATGATGTCAGTTTTTTTACTCAGATGTACTTGATTCACACCATGATCTTTTCAGTTACTTCCTATGCATCTGAAAGTTGAACAATGAATAAGGATGACAGAAGAATTGTTGCCTTTAAGTTGTGGTATTGGAAAAGAGTACTGAATATCCCATCTTGTGCTAAATGAACAAACAAATATGTCTCGGAATAGTGCAACCAGGGTATTCTTTAGAG